GTAATTTATAATTGTACTCAACAAATTTTGGACACTTATGTACCTTTTTTTTTTGGGTAGGTTAGTGGGGGAGAAGGCCCACTACCCGTTTTTTCAATTAATAAATGAGCAGAGAAAAACAGTTATCGCATAACCCTATAATAGGGAAATTGCGCCAGATCATGTAATAAAAGAGAAAAAATAAAATCTGGTGGTTGATGACGCCACACAGTAGCACCAGGGCTAGCAGATGCTCGCTTAGCGAGGGCATCAATAACCATAGTTGCTTCCTGAAAAGCATGTGCAATGGACCATCGATGAGAAGAAAGTATGGTATGGCAATTATCTGCAATCGTCTTTAGCCACCATGGAGCACGACATCGATTCTGAATGACATCCACAAGCAGGGCTGAATCACTTTCTATCTGTATTGGAAAGCAATTCCTTTGATGAACCAATTGAACTCCTCCTTCAAGTGCCAAGAATTCTGCATGGTTATTAGAAGCAAAACCAAAATGCTTTATAAAAGTAGCAATGAAACCACCTTCTCTATTCCTGATGATTACACCACCACTTGCTAAGCCTGAATTTCTCAAGGAAGCACCATCAATATTGAGCTTGTAATTCTGAGCCTCAGGAAATGACCACGCCACCAGAATAAGGGATTCTGACCTCTTCTAATGCCAAGTTATTTGGAGATTACCAATATTGGCCTTTTTTGATAAGTGAAAATACCACTTTTTAACTTCTTCTAGTGCTTGAACATGTAAAGTAATTCGTTTTACAATAAGATCTCTCCTGGTGGATCTTGACTCAAAGACTCTCCTAGTGGATCTTGACTCAAAGACTCTCCTGGTGGATCTTGACTCAAAGACTCTCCTATTGCCCTCCTCCCATAGAAACCAAATAGTAGTAAAAAAGATGGAAGATCAGATATTGCAAAGTCCATGAGATTTAAACCTGAAAAGCAACCACCACCTAAGTAAATCCGGGCAGAAGTACCAAGGACAAACCGTTTTCCACATCTCTAAGATAATGATCTCCATACACCCTGCGCAAAAGCACATTGTAATAATAGATGAAAGAGGTTGTCATCATGGTTGCTACAAAAGGGACATAAAGAATTCAGTTGCATGCCCCGTTGCTGCAATAAGATTGATATGGGTAACCGATTGTGCAAGGCCAACCATGAGAACCATTTCGCTTGTTGGTG